ATCGATCCGTGCTTTTCGTGCTTATCGTGGATCCGTGCTTTTCTTTGGTGCATGATCACGTGCTCATCATCGATCCGTGCTTTTCGTGCTTATCGCGGATCCGTGCTTTTCTTTGGTGCATGATCACGTGCTCATCATCGATCCGTGCTTTTCGTGCTCATCGTGGATCCGTGCTTTTCTTGCCTTCGTACTCGTCTTTTTTTTTTCCCGTGTCTCCCGCGAAGCATCGGAACTTCCGTACTTATCGTCAATGAACTACATGCGCCATCATTGCGCCATGAACGGCAATGGGAAATGACAGTGGTGATCTTATGTGGATTTGAATATGCTGATGCTTAGCGCATGTCGCTGGTGCCTGTCGGAATGTCGCACTCCCTTGGATCTGTTGATGGCCGTCCGGTTTCCCGTTTGACGGAATGATTTAGGAAGTCGAAATTGCCTTCCATGCTTGGTTGCTGGCAGTCATGCTAGGGCGTGGAGAGGAGGGAACTGAGTTACAACAGTGCAGTTGAGGAGGGAGGGGCTCGGGTGGGTGGGTGGGTGGGTGGGGGAGTGGGTAGATGTGTAGTCATCGCTGTATTCTTGGGAAACTCCGGGATCTATTCCGCCAAATCTCGGTCGCCTTGCCCGCAGAGCAACTGTGGACATACGCTTACGCTTCGGGCCGCACATCTGTAGTGCCGCTATGTCTCGCCCCCACTCTCCGCTTTACCCCGGCTTGCCGGTCCTCTTCTCGCTCTCTCTCCTCCACATTATCTTCCGGCTCCTCTTGTGTATACTACAATGGCTCCCATCAACTTACAGTATTTCCCCCGTCGCTCCACTTCTGCACTGGCATCCTTCCGCGACAGAAAAAGAAGAAAATAAGAAGTATCCGCTATGTCTCGCCCCCACTCTCCCCTTTACCCCGGCTTGTTCGTCTTCTTCTCGCTCTCTCTTCTCCACGTTATCTTCGGCTCCTGTTGTATACTACAATGGCTCCCATCAAATTACAGTATTTCCCCCGTCGCTCCACTTCTGCACTGGCGTCCTTCCGTGACAGAAAAAGAAGAAAAGGAGAAGTATCTGTCTCTTGGCAGTCGCCATCCTTCCTCCCTCCCTCCCTCCCTCCCTCCCTCCCTCTCTGGCCTGCTGTTCAGTCGCACTCGCTGATTCCTTGTGCGTCTCTATTTGTGTTGTTGCTCTTTGAAGTCTACTACGCGTCGAAGTTTATTTTGTCGCTCAGCAGTTGCCCTTGTCCCTCCCTAATCCTCCCTTCTCCCTCTTTGGCCCTTGGCTCGCTCTCCCCTCGCCTATGCGTTTCTTGGTTTCGTGGATGCAGACCTGCGTCGCCTCTATTTCACTTCCTCGTTGCTTGCTATCTCTTTATCTTCTTCGTCTGACCTCCTCTTCTCGGATTATCTGTGCTTTTCAGTTGAAGTGTTCATCGCTAAGCGTGAAGGATGAAGTTGTTGTCTTCACGCTTAGGATGATGAAATGAAATACCGCGAGCGAACTCGTCGCTGCTTTCTTTTGCGGCTCTCTTCCCGAGTCTCTTTACTCGCGCGCAAATCTAGTCTCTCTCACTCTTTTCGCCCTTGGCCTCCTCCAGCGCGCTCATGACATGAACTCGTCATTTTTCAACTCTCCCCATCTCGATCTTATCCTCGTGCTCATTGTCGCTCATTGTCACTCACTCTCTCTCGCTGTCGCTCACCGTCGCTTGCTGTCGTGTACTTTCACTGATTGTAGTTTGTCGCTCGCTGTGGCTCGTTGTTGCTCACTGTCCCACACTGTCGCTCAAGGTCACTCACTGTTGATTGTGCCGCGTGTCGCTTATACCACGTGTTGCTTATGCCACGTGGCACAAGCCTCTTCCTCCTCTACCACTTCCTCCTCCTCCTCCTCTGGCTCTTCCTCCTCTTCCACCTCCTCCTCGTCATCCTCCTCTTCGATCCAATCCCTTTCCTTATGCCGGTGTAGTAAATGAATGAGTTGTGATAAGAGCAACACTCCGGTCGGGTGGCGGTTTAAACACATGGTGAAGGTTGTGTGCAGTCGGACGAGATTTTCTGGATTGTTTTCCAAACAAGGGCTATGCTATGTTGACTATGGTTGTGCCAAAGCCACATGGTGATCATGTTGATGCGACAGTGATGATGATGCAATGGCGATGATGAAAATGACAGTGATGATGATGATGATGATGTCTTGGACTCTTTGATGAAGGTGGTGATGGCGATGATGATGATTCCTCATCTGCATGCGAAGTCGCTCATTGTGTTTTCGACCCTCTCGTATGCGTGCTCATTTCCCTTCGTTTCATGTTGGACACTCGATTTTATCTGCGTCTCCTCGCAGCCTTCCTCTCTCTTCTACCCTTGTTTCTCTTCCCCGCAGCAGTGATGGTGATTTCTCTGATGACGATGATGATGATGATGATGATGATGATGTTGATGTTGATGTTGATGATGACGATGATGATAATGATGATGTTGTTGATGATGACGATGATGATGATGATCGTCATTATCTTTCATTGTTGTGCACGTGTCCATCATCGTCATCATCATCATTATCATCATCATCGTCATAAAGTATGCGGAGGGGGTTGGGCACCTATCCAAGTTTCTCCTCGCCACACTACGGCAGATACACCAGAGCCATGCTTGGTGTGAGTGTGAGACTTGCCGTCGTCATCGTCGTTGTTATCATTGTCATTCAGTTGTCAGGCTTGGTCGTCTGCTGCAAGTCACCAACGTGAATAGACAACGGCAATACGATCTATGCTCAATCGTCAATCATCATCACAGAGAGAGAGAGAGAGAGAGAGAGAGAGAGAGAGAGAGAGAGAGAGAGAGAGAGAGAGAGAGAGAGAGAGAGAGATTACCCAATGGGAACACTACCTGGCACTGGGAACACTACCCACTGAGGGGGGAGAAGATTCAATGAGGGGAGTGGAAAACAGCAACAGAGACCCAATGGGAACACTACCCATGGACCTAGCACTGACTGGCAGTGCTAGGTGCATGGGTAGTGTTCCCATTGGGCCATTGGTTCTAAGTTGCTGTGTTCCACTCCGTTCATTGAATCTTGATTGCTTTGTTGCTGCCATTTATTGAATCTTCGTAGTTCATTGCTAAATTTGCTAACTGTTGCTCTTCATTGTTGTTGCTGTTCATTGAAGTGTTCGATCAAGGCAAAGGCAAAGTTGGCAAACACAGTAAGAACGTGCTGAATCAAGATACAGAGAAAAGGGCGTCCCCTGCTGCTTTTGTTTCACACTTAGTGAGTTAGTACTATCAGGGTTGCTGCACTTAGTGCCATCACTGGTTGAGCTTAGTACTATCACTGGTTGAGCTCAGTACTGTCACCTGGTACTGAGCCCATGTAGTACTGCACTATGCAGTGTGAACGGGAGTGTGAGCCTGACCCATACCGTGGCATTAAGCCCACATAGCACTGTGTGGTATGCGGGCAGGCTCACACTCCCATTCACACTTCTGCAGGTGGAGTGCACTATGCTCATTGTGCGCCTGACTCCCCACCAATCTGTCATGCTACATGCCCCACTTCGTGTTCATGGCCTGCTTACTGATCAGCAGCACCCGGTGCTGTGTTGTTGGCAGCATCCGTCCTTGTTACCGCTGCCTTCCAACATTCTGCTATGTGTCCGTGCACCTCCCCCCCCTCCAGACTCCACCTTTATGCTCTCTCTCTTCTTCTACTCTTCCTTCTTTTTCCCTTTAACATCAGTTTATTGTTTCGGTGAAGACAGTTGCGTTGGGTCACTATCTATGGATTACACAGCGGGTCACACTATCGACCGCACAGTCGACCAGACAGTGGGCCGCCCAGTGGATCAGACAGTGGGCCGCTCAGAGGATAAGAGCGGACCAGAAAGCGGACTGGACAGTGAACCACACCCTGGATCAGACAGTTCAATAGCGCCATGACTTGTCCAGACTCTGCAATCGGAAGGGATGGTGTCATGCAGTCCACACTGTGGTCCGCACAGTCGACCAGGCAGTGGGCCGTCACACTGGATTTCAAAAAGGCGTCTGCTGGACGAAATTGGATATGCAGTGCACAGTCCATGTCAGGAATGCCCAGGAATGCTTGCTTACTCATTGGTCGGTTTTGGCTCTGTCAGTCTTAATCCTGCTTTCCTCTATCGCTCTCGGATGCTGAACTGTGTCCCCGGTTTCTTGTTTCGTTGCCCAGTTGCTTGGAGGTTCCTTGGCTGCATTGGATGTCTCTTGGTACTGTGTGCAAGGCATGGTGTGTGTTCTATGTGGTTCTGCTTTTCTTATGGTTTGAGACTGGTTCTGGTTTCTAGAGTTCTGGTTTGTGCAGTCCACTTTCAGCCTCCGGCAGTTGACGATCACGCAGTGAGCTTCCTCTCACTTGGTTGTGCCATGTGTGGACCACATGATCCACTTCTTTTCTTTTTTCCCCCTCAGTCCAAAGTAGCAGCTCTCGTTTGTTTTCAGCTGCAGCTTTGAAAGCGGTTCTCGGCTTGTTCTGTGTTGAGGCGCATGATTCATTGCTGCAGAACTTCGGGTTCGTGTCAGCTCTTTGCAAGAGTAACAGTTGCAGCTCTGATGTTCTTGTTCGGTCCCTTGTTTCGGCCCGGCATGTTTTATTCCCCGTTTCGCTTTTGCTACTTCTCTTTCTTCTACTTCTTCGTTTTCTTCTTCTTCTTCTTCTAAGACCTTCTTCTTCTTCTTCTCCTCCTACTACTACTACTACTACTACTACTACTACTACTACTACTACTACTCGTACCAGTCATGGCGTCATCAAGCCAGCCGAGCAGTGCAGCGGCCAAGGGCAAGGGGAAAGTGAATGCGATGCGTACACCACCTGAATTTGTGCCGCAACCGGATTCTCGTCAGCGCACTCTGCAGCGGGAGAGAACAGTACTTCGGTGGATTGAGCAGGGGCAGGCGGCAGAGCCGAAAGGCTTCGGGCAGTATTGGGTTCGTTGCAGGTTGTGCAAGACAGTCTTCACAGCCTCAGCAACTCGAGCGGTTGAGCACTTCCTTAAGAAGGGGAAGCCGTGCATAGCCAGGACAGGCGAGGTGTTGCACTTTCTTGCACTGGACGGGGTGAAGATCGATGGGGAAGCAGCGAAGAGGATGCTACATGCCTACAGGGTGGAAAAGGGCATAGCGGAGGATACGGGGATGACGCCCCGGGGGGTGGTGGAGAAAGCAGTCCTGGATGAGATGGAGGCGCTTATTCGTCCGCCTCCGGTACCGGGGAGAGAGGACTCGACAGTGGTGTCTGATGCAGCAGCCCGCACATCCGAGGAAGGCGACAGAGGGCGATCCAGTGGGGGCTGTTGCAGGTCCTTCGTGTGAGGCTTCCACGACTGTGGCGAAGTCGGGGAAGAAAACACAAACCTCGATCCGCAAATGGGCTGAGAACACATCGCAGAAGAGACTGGACCTACAATGGGGGAGAGCTCTTTGTCGTTCCGGGGTCCCCTTCAACTTCGTGCGACAAGACGAGACGAAAGCGCTTCTCGACTTGTACATGGAGTTGGGCGCACAAAAGGCAAAGACCCGGATGACTTCCTTCAAGACTATGCGGACCACAGTGCTAGACGCGTTGTATGACGAAGTGAAGCTGACAGCGCAACCCATCATGGATAAGATGGATATCTCGGGTTGCACGCTGATCACTGATGGGTGCACGGATAGGAAGTTCAGGCCTGTCATGAACTTCATTGCTGCGGGGGACGGGGGGGCGGTCCTGGTGAAGGTCGTGGACATGTCGGGCCGGAAGAAAAATGCCACGGCCCTTGCCAAGCTCTGGGAGGAGGTGATCAGGGAGATTGGAGTGCATAAAGTGAATGCCATCTGCACCGACAATGCCGGTGTGAACAAGAGGGCTGCAAAAATTCTGCGTCGGCGGAAGGATTTGGACATCGCAAAGATACCATGGCTTCTGTGTGCAGCGCACACCCTGAGCCTCCTCCTCAAGGACATATCAAACCTCGAGTGGGTGTTGCCGATCAGGAAGCAGGCCAAGACGATGGTGAAGTTCATTAAGAACCACCATCGCACGGTTAGTCTGTACTCCAAATCATCTATGGATGACAAGAAGACCCTCATTCTCCCCACAGAAGTCCGGTTCGCCTCCGTCTACCAAATGTTGTTGAGACTCAGTGACAGGCAATGGGTTCTCGAGGACATGATGAAGACCGGGTGGCTGGACATTCATTGGAGCGCCAAGGAGTCAAGAAAGAAGGTGGATGACATCTTCCAAAGGGTGAGATCGGAGGAGTGGTGGAGAGGGGTGCACAAGGTGGTGAATGTGATGCGGCCTGTGCATGAGGTGTTGAGGAGGATGGACATGGATGGGACATCACCTTCCCATTTGTGGATGTTTGGTGATATGCTTCGAGCCCGCCTGTTGAATATTGACGGGATATCACGGCAGCAGTTGGAATAAATTTTTGGGCTTGTGGACGACCGCTGCAGGATGATGCGGCAGCCTGCACATGCAGCACACTTCCTCCTCTCCCCCAACAGGAGAGAACCCAAGTGGCTGCTTGAGACCAAGTCCCCCCTATTGAACAACACGATGGAGTTCTTCAAGTCGCAGTTGGGTGGAAATGAATGGGGGGAACTGCAATCCCACCTTGATGTGTGGCAGTCTCTATGGACTTTCCACTGTGAGGTGACAAAGGGCCAGGCAAAGAACGAGCCAATGTGGGACACATTCGGACGTGGAGACAGTTCCCTCACCAGGAAGACGGCCTCGCAATGGTGGGCATCGTATGGGGGCAACCATCCCGACTTGCAGAAGATTGCCACAAGGGTGACTGCGATGTGGAGCACTGCGACACCTGCTGACAGAAACTGGTCCTCACTTGACTTGATTCACACAAAGAGGAGGAACAACCTCTCAAGTGAGAATGTGGCGAAGTTGGTCTACATACATTGGAATATGCAGCTCAAATCGGTGCGCCAGGGTGTGAAGTGCGGATTCTTGGACTTGTGGGGCAACGAATTCCCCCCGGCGGCGGACAGGCACGGCCAAGTCCGCGGCTGCGGCCAGGCCGTGAAGCCCGCGGACGTGTCCGCGCGGACGCGCGCATTCGCGGACACGTGGCGGCCACAGGGGAGGGGGTTTGAAGATTCTGGCGGCGCCATGTGGCGGCGCATCCTCTGCCCCACCCCCCCCCACAAAAAAAAAACGAAAAAGATCAACTTTTGGTAGGGGGGTTATGGGCGAAATCCAACGAAAATGGGAAATAAAAAAAA